GGATAGATGGTTGGATGATGGATTGATAGATGGATGGATGATTGGATGATGGATGGATAGATGGTTGGATGGATGGATTGATAGATGAATGGATGATTGGATGATGGATGGATGGTTGGATAGATGGTTGGATGGATAGATGGTTGGATGATGGATTGATAGATGGATGGATGATTGGATGATGGATGGGTGGATGGTTGGATGGACAGATGGTTGGATAAACTGTCTTCTTCTAGGGACCCGTGTAAATGTATCAAATAATTGTTGAGTCATTCAGGAACAAAGTGTTCAACCAACCAACAGTTACATTCATGTCGTTGTAACTAACTCGTTGTGCTGCAGCTTCTTGGTGAAGCTGTCTGAAACACCTTCCTGAGGTCATTCATCTGCTCCGACAGTTCCTTAAACTCACCTTCTTCTACACCTCCAAGGTGGACACGCCCTCCCGCTCGGCCCGGGAGCTGGCTCTGGCTGCAGCCCGGCTCGACGCGCACCTGTACTGGTCCATCTCCAGCAGGCTGGACGAGGAGCCCACGCTGGCCGAGCAGGCAGCAAAGCAGGCGGACGGCGGCTCGGCCAACAGCAAAGGAGGGGAGCCCATGTTCACCGTCGGGGAGATGACCGACATCCAGGAGCAATCAGGACTGGGCGAGCTGAACGGCAGCGTCGCCACAGACCAGTCCGAATCAGAGGCCTAGAACAGAGAATGTTTACAAAGACCTTCAGTGCATCGCCACCGCATCCCGGTTAAATACGTTAAAGACTTTTATTTTGATGCCGATGACTTGTTTTAATAGACACAGCTCAGCAGTAAACACCAGATCACATAGAAACAGACTGATCTCCTAATATTTGTCTTTTTTTAATGTTTGTTCCAGGCGTTCTGCATGTGTGCCATCTCTTTTGGAATTGTTGTGTTTGCTCTGATCACCGTTGCCTATATCTTCTATAAACGATAAAACTATGCTTCAGCTGTGCTGGACAGGACGAATGTCTCACGCAACGTAATTGATCCTACCAGCCTGAAAGACGGTGTCACAGCAAGCGTTACGTGAATCAGTTGTCGAGATGCTTTACATTCAAATGCACACTTAACGAGTAATCTCAAGCTTTTTTTAGATGCAACGATCAATACATTTATCCATCAGGGTAGGAAATGTATGCCATCTTACAGCTGATTAGGTATTTTCTTGCTTTTTCTTTTCAGGCTATTATTTGGTGCTAGAATGTCCAGAAACCCATTAGGGGGACACATTTTTTTAAACATCTGTGAACACCCTTTCTCGTTTTCCTGCCCTCAGTATAAACAATAATCTTTAGGAGGCACAGAGTATTGGATTTGTTCAAAATGCGGATATAAAAAGAAAATACTTACATCCTTAAGTTAAGGGGAATAGGGTATCTGAAGCCTTTTTAGAGTAAAGCTGACACTTTTGTATCCTATACGGCGGCTGTAGAACCTGGTTTGTTCATCGCTATCCTCAGACGTTTAGTCGATTTGCACAACAATGTCCTGCTCAATTCAGCCCAAACTTCTGCTTCTGCTCTCATGTATATACATGTACGTGGCCATTTTTACTAGATGTTTTTAATATGTAAGATAACACGTCAGTTAGAATGAATAAAGGACACTATATTCCAGTGTTTTGGATTCTTTGTTGGATTTGCCGAAGTTTAAATGTACACAAAGAAAACCTGCACAGAGGTTGGACCGAGTTGTGTGACTGGGGAGAAAATGATATGCTGGGGCCTGAAGATTTAAAAATGTGCACGTGTCTGTGTAGAGAACTGGACTGTGCCAAGCCTCTGAGCATGGAAAAAAGAAAGTCTACCCACTTACCAAATTATTTTGGAGCTGCCAGTCTTTCCAGGAGTGGATGCCCCCAGAAAATTTACCCCAAGGTCAGACTGTGCAATGATCAGAGGAATTTCAAAAAGTCCTAAGAGCTCCATCTAAGACTCTACAGGCCTCTGTTTAAAGTTCACAAATTATAAAAAGCCTGAACGACTAATGGTTTGTTTGCAAGGAGAAAGCTTCACGAAAGGAACATGGCCGCAGGAAATTGGCTAGAGGTTCATTTGAACAAACCACAAATCTTCTGGAGCTGACTAGGTTTGGTATTGGACAACAAAAATGGTAAAACCTTTATTGTAATGCAGCTGCTGGTGGAGGTCAGAATCCAGTGGTGGGACCAACCTGCAGCGATATGACAGTTAGTGGACTGAATATTTATGTGAGCGAGATGAACAGAATGATAGTCACTAACCTTCTCAAGCAGGAGAGGTGGGGGCCACCTGTAGGAGTTGGGCAAGATGATGTCACCGCCACAGAGTGAAGCACAGTTGCAGGCCAGAGCGTGGTCAGGGGGGTGATCCAAAAACAAGGTCCAGGTATAGAGGTCAGGGTTATACACGCGAGGTCAGAGATCCAGATACAAATCCGTAGGGTAATCCATGAGTCGTAGTCGTTGGGTCAGAAGGAGTAGTCTGTAACGAGGTCAGAAAGGCAAAACAAGAGCAGGCAGGGAGCAGGCAGATGGGGGTTTCCAAAAGGCAGGTGTGAGGTCAAGACGAGAAGATCAAACAAGGCTGTGAACAGAACGCTGGCCATCTAGTACCGTGAGGGGTTCGATAATCTGGCAGAGTGGAGTGCTGAGAGGAGTCCTTAAATCTGGATCAGAACAGATGCAGTGAATCTGCGTCATGATGCAACAGGACAATGATCCCAAACACCTGCTAGAGAACAGCTGAAAAAGAAACGAATCGCGCGGTCCAGTCAAAGTGTAGACTGATTGAAACTCTGGAGGACCTAAGGAGAGCCGAGCAGGAACCAGCAAGACTCAGTCAACTGAAAGAACACAGAAATAAGAAAGCTAAAGGCCCTCTATAAACATGTGAGACACTGAGAAAGTCAAACCACTATTGAGAGTTATTGCAGCTAAAGCAGGTGCCTGAAGCTGCTACATCGGGAGGTGCACTTGTTTTTTTTTGTTTGTTTTTTTACACCCAACTCCATTTTGACTTCATGACTGAGATTAGATTTCAATTTTGGAACCTGGTAAATCTAGATGGTTTTTCTCCTGATTCAAAAAACTGAAAGAGGCCTCCCCTAATGAAAGTACATATTTGTTTTGATTTTCAATATTGCATTTTTAATTCATCTTTGCACACAAAACATATAAACTCAGGAGTAAACAGTTGTAATAATATTAAAATGAACATCTCACATAAAACAACACTTAAATTTACCTTCACATGCAACAAAGACACCTGTACTGTTGCATAGGTAAAAGATACACGCAAATACTATGAACTACAACATTGCATATGAATTAAAACGCTTGTATATTGTGAGGTTATTGTTATATGTTATTGTGCTGCACTTTTCTTAGACCTGTCCAAAGCTTTGACACTGTGGATCATAAGATCTTGTGCCATAAACTCTCAGAAATCGTTTTTTCAGAACACACCATTGGTTGGTTCTCTAACTATCTCTCAGACCAGAGGCAATGTGTTCAACATAATGGTACTTTCTCCAGTTATTTAACAGTCAACAATGGTGTACCACAAGGCTTAGTCTTAGGACCCACCCTCTTTACAATCTACATACATAATGTAGGTAAAACTATCCCTAATGCATCCATACATTTCTACGCTGATGACACAGTTGTTTATCGTCGAGCTAAAACTGTTGATAAGGCTTTCCAACTTTTGAAATCTGCATTCAACAACATCCAGACATATTTGTTCCACCTCAAACTTGTCCTAAATGCCGATAAAACCAAAGGGATGCTTTTTTCAAATAGGAAGTTGATCCCAGCAGTCCTTCCTCCGATTTTATCTTCAAATGGTGTCCCGATTGAGTTTGTTGATTCCTATAAATATTTGGGTATCTTGGTCGACTCGCATCTCTCTTTTAAGCTTCGTGTGGAAAACTTGGTAAAGAAACTCAAAGTTAAACTGGGTTTCTTTTTCAGAAACAGATCCTGTCTAACCATAAATGCTAGGAAACACCTTGTATCTGTGACTTTCCTTCCCTCCATTGATAACGGTGACATTATTTACATGAACGCTCCTACAGGAATCCTGCAGATGTTGGATGCTGTCTATCATGGTGCACTAAGATTCATAACTGGCTGTGATTATCGTACCCACCACTGCACCCAGTATTCACTGGTTAACTGGACACCATTAACTTCACGCAGACTCTCTCACTGGTACATTTTCATCTTTAAATCACTTCTTGGTCTGTTGCCTTCATACATCTCCTCCTACATGTCTCTGCGTGAGTGCAGCTACAGCGTGCGTTCTCAGGACATTATTACCTGCAGTGTTCCCTCAATGAGGACTGAACTAGGCAAAAGACCTTCTCCTACTCCGCTCCTGTTTCCTGGAATATCTTACAAAAAGATTAGAAGCTCTCGACCTTGACCTCTCTAAGTGGCTTTAAGAATCTGTTGGACACCTGGCAGGGACCAATGCAGACATGTTCCTGTTTTTAGTTTTCTACATTTGCCTTAGAATCTAGCTGTTTTTTGTTACCTTTTTTTAGCCATCCTATTTGTTTAAAGAAAACACAAAAAATTGGAGTATGACTTTTTATAACTGTTTATTGTTGTCGCTGTTGTCCATTGTTGTCATCATTCTTTGTTGAAATCAGATCTCTCTTGTAAATGGGTCCTCGAGGCTCAATGGGATTTACCTGTAGAAATAAATGTTGAATGAAGTGTATATTGCAGTATAAGTACTTTACAGCACTCCTTTCATAAGTCACCTACAAAAGAAATAGAATTGCAGTTGAAATATGGAGCAATGAAAGCTTAAATTGCCCAAAGAGGCCAATTTAACCCTCATCTGAAGATCATATTGACGAACCAGACAAACATCCTTACTTTCAAATGAATGCTCATATGACTTTTCAGCACATTTATGTCACTTCTTTCTTTCATTTAACAGAGAACTCTTCAAACGGATCAAGTTTTAGACAATTTACTTAGTAAAACACTAATAAAATATTTGATTAAAAATAAATATTTAATGCATTCAGTGGCTTTAACGGATAATGCTGAGCGTACATATTGCATGCATGACAAATGTTGAAGCAGAGGCCGTAACGTCCACAACCTTCATGCACAGGAAGTTGCATTACACATTAATATACACGCTAACAAAAATAACAAATAAAATAGTTAGTAAACCATCCAGCATCAGCGTAGTAGGCACCATTATTACTCTTAAATGATACATTTTTTACAAAGTAAAAGCAAAAACTACCTTAGTGTGGTAGCACTAAATAATTTATTCCACCATAAAACTTTAAGGTTTGTTGTACTGCGGTAAAAAGCTCTCTCCTTTCACAACCAGTTCAGATATTAGTCAACTAAACGTTCATGCTAACTCTTCCTCCCCCCTGCTGTGAGGAGCCTCTCATTAGAAATTCAGAGCATGCATAGAAGTCAGCATATTGGGTTACCAGGCAGAAAGTGGGATTATTGAAGTAAGAAATAAATTATTCTCCTTTGTGACCGGTAGATGACGATAAAGATCCCGAACGTCCTCGTTCAGCCACTCAGCCCTGCTGGTGTGTAATCAGGTCCCCAGCTCAGCTGTCTCCTAGGCAACCAGGGCTGCGGACAGCAAGAGGGCAGATTGTGTGTGTTTGTGTGTTTTAAACAATAAGTGTTTGTTAATGTGCGTTTGAACTGGATGTTTGCTGTTTTAGAAGATTTCAGAGTTGACGTGCTGTGTTTGTATAAAAACTGATGATGATGAAGAGGATGAAGCTCAGCAGTGGTAAAAACAACAAATGTCTTTAAC